ATATGTTAAGTATACATCAAGTGAACTGTTCCTGTCATCTAGAATGACCATCTATTTAATAAAGCCATGAAACAATTAGAGAACTTTCAGAAAACAAATGGGCAAAATGCTGTGTTACAAAAACATGTCCTGTCTTGTTCATCCTGTCCATTTTTAGATTGGTCTGGATAATAGTGAAATGCAGAACTGTTTGCCACACAGGTGCAATGTTTTGCAGCTGTTGGAAATGTTCCCCCTCACCCACAACCCCTTTGCTTTCTTCACATAAAATTATGCGGTGCTGACACCATTAATGCTAGAAGATGGGATTTGAGAATTTGAATGTCTGTTTACATAAAGATGTAATACAGAGAGATAACTGCACATTCAGGCATCTGAATATAACTGCCTAGATGACTTTATTGAAACTGTCCTTAAGGTCACACTAGCCTTAAGGTCATGGAGTTTTAGAGACTGCCTTTAAAACTCCTGTCTGTAGAATTGCTGCCCTCTAGGACTGAATGTCTGAGGACAGGGCTTATATGTATTTATTTTTAAATCTCTTGTAACTAGCATAATACCTGGACATAGTAGGCACTTTATATGTTTGTGAATATTTTATGTTGCAAGATGAAGCCAAATGAAAATATCGTTTAGATGTAGTATGGTACTAAATCAGAAATTGTAATTTTTTTAAACTGATGCCATGTGGTACACTCTGTAGTAGTCATATGAACAGAGTGCCATGGCCTCAGAGAGAAGGAGAGTGAATAATTCTGTCCATGGAAGTCACGGAATACTTTATATTTTTATATATCATGGAAAATACTTCCCTAGACTACAATTGGAGAATCTGTTTTGAAGAGAATTTTTTCCTCATCTAAGAGAAAATATATTTTTCAACAGCAGTGTTTTCCTCCCATATCCCCATTTTTGTCATTTTTGATGCATTATATAAATAACCAAATTAATGATTCAAAATTGGAAAGTTTTAGAGCATGCTTTCTTTATATAAAACCAATGTTTTATTTTCTATAGTTATTTCTATGATGAGAGTTAGGTAGGCTTTGGAGTCAGACATAAAGAGGTTTGAGTTGCTTATTTTTGAATCCCAACTTATTAAACTGTTTACCTCAAGGAAGCAACTTAACCTCAACGTGTCTCAATATTTCTGTCTGCAAAAATGGGGCTAATATCTACTCTGAATGGTAGTGTTACGAGGATGAAATGAGGTACCTCTTGAGTACATGGCAGCAGCATTATTCCTGGTGCGTATTAGGAACTCAATAAACATAATTTCCATTTTATTCAGAGAAGAGGGTTGTAGTGATCAAGGCTAGTACTTTTCTGGCATTGACGAAACTACTCATCTCGGAGACTGTAGTATACCCTCAAGTTTCTATTTGTTCAGCATGTGCATAGTACCCAGTATCTGCAAAGGCATTGAGATACGTGGCGATATTGCAGTCTTGTTGGGGTTGGGGGTGAGGAGTTGAACAACAAATATTGAAATCATGATGAAAGGTAGTAAATTACTGAGATTCTGAGAAGGGGGGTTCTGAGAGGGAGGTCACGATAAACTGCAGTGATTAGGCATCCTTCATGGTTGTAGCATAGCTGCAAACTGAACCTTCAAAGCAGAATGGAGAAAACATTCAGGCTTAAAGAAGACCAGAAAGATCAAATGCTCAGTCTTCTGAGAGAATATTTTTGTGTGCTATAATTGACAGTGGTTCCATGTATACAGAACAAAAAATTGTCATAGCAGACTGAAGCTGGCTCTGTTGACCCGAAGAAAGCGTAGGAAAGCATCCTGGATGTACTGTTGCCTGTTTTCCTGAGTCATAAGTAGCATATCATTTATTCTGCATATGCTTGGGACTCTTAAGCTAGGAAAGCATATACTTTGAAGTTTATAAAAGTATAGATGTGTTCGCAAGTTTTTCCTTTTTATCTGAGAATTCATAACAGATGATAAATTTTATTTCTATGTAAGAGGATGGAAACCTGTTTACATTTGAGAAAAGACCAGTAAAACTAGTAACATTTTTGGAATTGTTGGGGTGTGGAGGGAGGGATTTGGAGGAGAAGCATTGTGTGTCTTATAAGCAATTATCACAAGGTAAGAATTCGTTCCTTGCAACAAAGTGTGATTAGAAACCATTGGAAAATTTTGAGGGTTCTAATGAAACATTTAAGGAATTTGATTTTTACAGTTATTAGGATAGTTTAAAGGGAAAAGAAGTCAAAATATTAAGGACATTTACAAAGAAAAGTTTGGTATATTTGAGGCTTGAAATAATCTGAATTAAAGTATTGAAGAAGAAAGGTCCAAAAAAGCAATAGTGAGACTGTTGGGAGTGTAGGGTTAAAGGAGGACAACAGATCAAAAATGGCTTCAAGGCTTTGCCTTTAGGGGATGAAAGAGTAAATTTTGAAGTACCATCTCGTCATTATCATTGCTCTAGGATAAGAGATAAGAGCTGTAATTCACTCTCAGGTCCCTCCCTAGTTTTCTCTCCCTAGTTGACTGAATAATGAATGAAGTGGCAAATTTTTGCTGTGGGATGCTTTTGAAACAAGGTTTCTTCTCTTCAGTTACCTAATTGGGATAGGGTATTACATATTTTCACTAGGGGTAACAGTATGTGTTGTTTCCATTAAAGACTAGGTAATTTGAATGTGATAGAAGATATTGGTATGTTTTTAGAAATACTGAAATGATTTGGGGAAAGGAAAAAAATGTGTAAAGATACTTTGAAAACTTTGAGGGCTTTTAATTTGTTAGAGTTGCTGTTTTGGGGTGGTGTTTTCCTGTAAAAACTTAACCCCAATGACATGTTTTACTTCTGCTGTTGTTAATAGGTCTCTGTTCATTTAATAGGTGGCGATTATCATGAGCATTTTGGGAAAAAAAATTTAACGGAAGTTTTGTTGGGCGGAAAGTATACTCTTGGCTTTTTTAGGTATGTTATACTCCAGGTATTTTAGACTACAAGGCAAGAGGCAGAAATCTAGAAGGATACTAGGAGCAGAGCAATATTTTCAGCAAAATTGTTTTCCTCCTCTTCAGCTTTCTGTGTTATCCTATCCCTCTCCCTTCTTAGTAGCTCAGAACATACCCTCCTCCAGCTTCCTGCAGAATTTAACACTTTTGCTTCAGTGTTAAAGCACAAAGTGAAATAAAGAAGAGTGCCTAGATAGCACTACCAGCATTTTTCAAGCACTAACTGTGTGTCTAGTACTATGCTTGGTTCTGGGCATGCACATGTGTATAACACACTCCCTGTCTTGAGAAGCCCACAGTAGAGCAGTCTGGTGAACATTCATAATTTACAGTTACGCTTTTATGGAGCTACTCAGAGAGCTGATTTTCCATTTGATAGTCTTAACAAAAAGTAATTTTGCATATAATCAAAAAAGCAATACTAGCATGGCTTTTCTTCATAGACATTAAAACTTCTTTTTGGAACTGCACACTTATATTTTTAAGAATTGTTCTTATAAAGAGCAAATACTTCTTACACTTCATATTGTTTGGCTAATTTATTGTCATTTGGCCAAATGATAAGGCATTTTTTTGGTAGTATATTGAGCTAAATATAGCTGTTCAATGTTTACATTGAAAAATTAGTATTATTAAAAAGGGTATCTTTTTAGTCCATGTGTTCTGATCATTAACATTTTGTTTAATCTTGAAGCTATATTATTTCTTCTCCATATTCCCCTTTTGAGTACTTTTGATTTTCTGTAATATCTTTCAAAACTTTTTCTTTCCCAACATTAAAATCCTTTGATGTATAGAGAAACATCGTTTAAAAATCCATTAGCAAGATCCCTTATGATGATAACAGGATACATTTTTTTTTCCTTGCTCTTTTATTGTACCTTGTTAAGCTGGTCTCACATGAACTTTCTTAGAATCAGGCAGTTCCTGGTTCCTATGGGACTTCCTGTTTTCTCAAATAAAAATAGAAAAGCATCTCAGAAAGGAAACCTGGTCAGTGTGAACTACTTTGTGAGATCAGTTAGTCTTAGTCGTAACCTGGAGTATACAGATATATAGTCTATATAAAATATAAAAGTTTACAGGTATCTGAAAGCTTTGAATATTTTTGTATGTGATATTAAAATAAACAAAATGATAAGGAGAAGATTCTGAATAAAAACCCTGAGAGGTGCTACATATTCAGCCATAAACATTTTTGTATCTTAATTTAGAGGTGAAGGAGGGGCATAGGGGTTGGATAGAAAGTGGTAAATCCTTTCCTTATTATGTAATATTTTATTGGGCATTTGGAATTGTTTAATACTGAGACTTAATGCTTAGTTACTTCGATCTGTATTTTTTTTTTCTTGCCACTTTTTCAGATGTTAGCAAGGATTAGGAAGGTGGATTTAAAAAAATCATTAGAAGTCAGAATTCTAAATGAATTATTCAGTTTTAAAGCATCTTATAGATTTCTTTCAGTAGTTAACTGCTTCTTACTCTATATTTTGAAGTGAAATCAAGTTAAGGTGGAAACAAATGATATAGTCATTAACAGTAATAATAATGAATAGTGTGTATTGAGTGCATATTAAGTGCTTGACACTGTGTCAAACATTTTATCTTGTTTATCTCATTTAATTCTGACAACAACTGTATAAGGTAGGTATCATTGTTATCCATACTCCTTTAAAGAAGAAACTACAATTTAGAGTAGCTAATTAGATGTTAGTTCAAGGAGACATTACTAATAAGTGGTAGAGGTGGAGCTGGGACTTGAACTCAGCTTCTGTGACACCAGAGCACCTGATCTCAGTGATTATGAGAAAAACCACTAATTCAGAGTGAGAATGATAAGTGTAAGTCTGAAAAATTACTTCCCCAACCATTATTATCACCAGTTTGTTTACATTTGGTTTGCATATTTATATCCAGTTTTAGCAAAGTACATGCTGGCATTTCAGAGAGTTTGTTTGGGGGATTTTAATTCTTAAGTGATGCTAATACTTCTCTTTTTTTCTTTCCTTGATAGTAGAAAACCCCTTTGGTGAAACATTTGGAAAAATACAAGTAAGTAAATGATCATAGTACTGATAATTTCATGTCATGTTTTATATGATAAAAGCATTAGAATACTATCAACTAAAAGAAGTAATTTTAAAGTTATTTTAGTCTAAAACAATAGGTTTTATCAAGTAAAAAATAGTAATTTTAGGGTTATTTTAGTCTAAAACAATAGGCTTTCTTATTCTGAGTGTTCCTTAACTGTAGTATAATTAAATCTGACACAGATTTTCTCTTAAGAGCTGAACTGTTTATCGCTTTACTGTAAAAGACAACTGCCAAGTAAAATGGGAGTGGCATATCATCAGTGGATCTTATCTTACACTTAAAAGTATACCTATTGCCTGTAGTTGTTGGATACCTTAGCAGTTTTTGTCCGTTTTGCCCTCATTTTATCTCTTTGGATCTTCTGCATATTGGCATGCCTATTCGACCATCAAAAGGACTTAGAAAGACAGCATGTCCTTCAGGCTATTTCTTTAATTTTTTAAAGAGTGCTATAATACTAATTTTAACCTAAATCTTATTTATGTAAAAATATTTTTCACTTACCCATCATTACAGGGACTTCAGAGATTAAGATGTTTAAGCTCGTAATTAGTTGTTAATTTTTAATTATAGGAACTGTTATGTAGACTTGCATAGAAAACATTATTTGTTGTACTGAAGGATGTGTAATAATGTGTAATCACATCCATAGAATATTACTTTCTGTTGTTAAAGTGGAACTCTGAAATGATTAGTAATATTCTATTGTGGTGATAATTGTTTAAAACAAAGTTGGCTTTTTCAGTTGCATTATTAAGTGTAACAGTGCTACAGTGTCATAATTTAAATTTGGTACAGTATACTTACTGAACATTGGAAATAGAAGACTATTTTTTCTGTTTAATTTTCCCCAAGGAGGAAACTGAAGTTCTGAACTTCTGAATAATAGTAATAATTATAATGAAGATAGTGGCTGTTTACTTATATTAAATGCTCATTCTGTACAGGGCCCCTTGCCAAGTTGTATTAGTCTGTTCTCACGCTGCTAATAAAGATTTACCGAGACTGGGTAATTTATAAAGGAAAGAGGTTTAATTGACTCACAGTTCAGCTGGGGAGGCCTCACAATCATGGCAGAAGGTGAAAGTCATATCTTACCTGGTGGCAGGCAACAGAGTATATGCAGGGCAACTCCTCTTTATAAAACCATTGGATCTCGTGAGACTTACTCACTATTCATCATGAGAATAGCATGGGGAAAAAAGCCACCCCATGCATGATTGAGTTACCTTTCACCACTACCTCCCAAAACACGTGGGAATTATTACAATTCAAGGTAAGATTTGGGTGGGGACACAGAGCCAAACCATATCACAAGTGTCAAAATTCATTATTATTTAATCAAAGACATAATGCAAACAGTTAAAATATCCTTGAAGAGAAAATTGGCTGAGGGTTAAAGAGGGAAATATTTAATGGTGATAATATATGAGAAAATTGGATAGAGTCACCCTATGGATTTTTCTCCCTCTAAAATGAAAAACAATAATCTGGCCCTTACTAAAACAGACAATTATAAAGTAGCTAATTCAAATTATAAAATTGCCTTTATTTAATGAAAGATTATTCGAAAGCTTATTTTATGTATTTACTTGTGGAACTTTAACTAGTTTGCAGAATGATTAGGGAAGCCAGTAGTTAGACATTAAGCTGAAATATTAGGAGACAATCTGAAAAGCAGTCAAAGTGGAAGAAGAGTATAATCAAACTGTAAACCAATAAGTAAGTTTAAAAGTTGATTTGTATACTTTTCAGATTTACTGCTAGTTTAGTGTACTTGTACTAAAGATAATTGAACCAAAACCTTTCTATTTCTTTCTCAAAATGTATTCATTCACTTAACAACATATATCATCATGCCACTGCACTCTACTACAGCCTGAGTGACAAAGCAAGACTGTAAAGATAGATAGATAGATAGATAGATAGATAGATAGATAGATAGATAGATAGATAGATAGTAAATAGTATGTGTGTGTATATATATATATCATAAACACCTATTTAGATTATAATTTAGTTGGCCATTTGGATAGCAGTTAAGGCCCTTCTAGTATATACATGGTCATTTAAACTCTCTGTTTGTTTGTTTGTTTATTTATTTTTTGAGACAAGGTCTCATTTTTATCACCCAGGCTGGAGTGCCGTGGCATGATCACGACTCACTGCAGCCTCAACCTTCTGGGCTCAAGTTATCCTCCCACCTCAGTCTCCCAAGGAGCTGGGGCTACAGGTGCACACCACCACACTCAGCTAAATTTTGCATTGTTTTGTAGAGATGGGGTTTTGCCACATTGCCCAGGCTGGTCTCAAATTCCTGAGCTCAAGCAGTCCTGCTGGCTCAACCTCTGAAACTATTGGGATTTCAGGTGTGAGCCACTGCACCCGGCCTTAAATAAATTTTCATTGGAACGATAATTCTTGTAAAAAACTATAGTTGAGCTTTCTGAGTTCTTACGTTATTTGTATGAGAATTTAACAGTGTGTGTGTTATCCAGTATGAGATCAGTTCCATCTGGTTAAGTGTTGTTGCTTGTACTTATCTAGTCCTGTGTAATATTTGTGAATCAAAAGCTAAAGTTTATTCCCAGGTCCCTCTTATGTTTATTAAAGATGTAATCAGAAGACAGATGCCAAATGTTTAAATTTTGTTTTGTTTTTGAAAGGGGAGTGAGGAAGGGTATGATAGGACATATAAAACAAAAAGAAAGAAACTTTCTGTTACTTTAATCCCAAAATTTAACTAGATTCACCTTGGTTTTATGTGTCACAATCCATAAGCTACACTATCATTGGAACACCTACTCATCCTGTTATGTTGAAGTTATTTATTAAAAATGATTTTGTGGTTTAATGTATCAAAATGCTTAGATTTCAGAATCCTGAGTTTCAGCCCCTGCTCTTACTTTTTTTTTTTTTTTTGAGACGGAGTCTCGCTCTGTCACCAGACTGGAGTACGGTGGCCTGATCTCCGCTCACTGCAACCTCCGCCTCCCAGGTTCAAGTGATTCTTCTGTCTCAGCCTCCTGAGTAGCTGGGACTACAGGTGCATGCCACCACGCTCAGCTAGTTTTTTGTATTTTTAGTAGAGACGGGGTTTTACCATCTTGGCCAGGCTGGTCTCGATCTCTTGACCTCATGATCCACCCGCTTCAGCCTCCCAAAGTGCTGGGATTACAGATGTGAGCCACCGCACCTGGCCTACTCTTACTTTTTGATATCTAATTTTTGCAGTTTGAATTTTTGTTCTTATGTGAAGGTAAGGACTGGCTTGATTCAGAATCTGAATAAGATAAAGTTGAGGCTATATATATATATGTGTATATGTATGTGTGTGTATATATATATATATATATAGGAAGGCAAGTAGTAAACTGAATGAATAAGTAACTTATCTCAGTCAACCATCTGACATAAAACCAGCTATTCTGGTGGTAGGATCTTGGCACTTTTGATGAGTTTTCTTCTTAGTATAACTGATTAAATCTGCAATGACAAAAGCATGCCACCCATAGTGTGCAAACATGTTCTCTTCTGTCCCTGAACATACACCACAAAATAAGTGGATGAGGTTGCATGTTATTAGACATATAAATGTTATTTTTCCAGCCTTTTATATCTTGCTTCAATTTGCTCCATAATCTGTTCATCCAGTAAATCTGTTTTGTTGGAAACTTCAGGAAGACAGAAAATAATAAAGACAGAGCCCCCTGATGAATCATGGATTTATTTTAGATAGTGCAATAAGCTATTACCCCTTCCCCAACCTACCCTCCTCCATCATTTATATGAGTCCCTCTTGATCGTAATTGCTCTTAAATTGGGGGTCTTGTTGCTTTAGACTACTTGGCAGGTGCTTAGGCTGTACCATTGCAATAATTCTCTATCTAGACTCTTTATACAATTATTTCTGCTTCCAGGCCAGTCTATACATTCTACATTCTGGCCGGATAGTATTCCTGATGTACAAGTCTGTTTTACTCTCCTGCTAAATTTTCAGAATGAAGTCAAACTCTCTGTGTTCCTATCCAAGGCTGTCTGGTAGTTAATACTAAACAACTTTTCTAGTAGTTTGCAGAATCAAACTAGGCTACTGGTTATGTAAGAAATATAACTAATGCTTTCATACCTTCATGCCCTTGCTAAGGGTCTTTCCGATTGCCTAGAATGCTGATCTGTTATTTTTTCCTTTGAAACCAAACTCACATATTCTGTTCAATAGATTCTCTTCCCTCCCTCCCTTCCTCTGTATTTACAGAAGGAGGAGGGAAGAGAATCTTCTGTATTACTTTACAGTTTTTAATATGTCTTTTGCCCTTGAGAACAGGAACCATCTTGTTCACTGGGACTCTCGCTTTGCTGAGAGAACAGTTCTTAACTCCTAGTAGATGTTTGTTGAATGTTTGTTTCATTTTAATGGTTCATAAGTTTATACAGGGGCACCTCATTCCCTTAGTTTTATGTGGTTGAGTTAGATTAAAACAAGACATGAAGGGGGGCAGCCTTGATGAAGAAAACAGTCTCATATGAGCAGTTTACATAAGAATACATTGTGTAGAGGGGGTTGGGAACATTGCTTTGGTGATTGATGGAGTTTATTGTCTGTGAGACCTTTTTTAGCACTAACTTTATGCCAATTTTTAAATCATTCTCCAGAAAGTGAAATATTTAGAGCAATAGAGTCTTAGATTAAGGTTTCTTAAAAATATGGTGCCCATTACTTAAATATGAATTTGCCTTTCAGATTGTGTGGCTTCTATGATTTTAAATTTTACTGCTTTTTCTTTTTGAATAAGAATTATTTGGTGTATTTTTTTTCTTGGAATTGGGTATTTCATAATAACTTCTTTTAATTTTAGGAAAGTGAAAAAATTCTTATGATGAACACATTGTATAAGCTTCATGATCGATTGGCACAGCTTGCAGGTAATTGTTTTAACTTTTGTAGTTGCTAAAAATGTTTTGAAAAATGTATGTAGCATGTTATTAGTAGAAAATCTTTTTCCAAGTCCAGTGTTATATTTGTGGAATATTTTTCTTTAGAAGTTTTTATTACCTATACAAAGTGATTTTTGATTTTTACATGTGTATTTAATCAAGGCTTTTTTCCTGTCTTCCATCTGTATTAGAGGTTATATATATATATACATATTTATATATATCATATAGTTATAAAGTTGATAAAATTCTTTATTGCATTAATAGTAACAAAAAATCCTGAAAGTTTAAGTATCAGAGGAATTAGGTAAGCAATGAATTAACTAAAATATTGGATTAAATATACAAATGCAGATTTTCTTTTATTTGTTGTATAGGTATCATTCTGTTGGATAAAGTAAATTTATTCTCCTGCAGTTTTCTCTCCTGATTCATTGCATTTTCCTCGTATTCTGCTCGTAGCAATTCTTTGAGAGCTCTAAGGTAGTGAGCTTGTCTGAAATTGGAATAACTTATTATAGATGAATTGGTATCAAGTTTAGCACATATAAACTGCAGTAGCAGCTTATCTATTGCCTTTTTTTAGTTCTTTTTAAATTTTTATTTTACATATAATCTGAAAGAAGAGACTTGGATTCTTGTAAGCAGTCATAAGAAAAGAAAAATACAGTTTTCAAACTTTTCTATGTAGCAGATCTTTTGTGTAAACCAGATTATTGGTAGCAGCCTATAGGTAAATGTGGAACTTTTCTGGTTGAATGGAAGTATTTAGGATCCTGACAGTTTCCCATTCTCTCATCTGTCTTTGTTTTGTCCATTAGGTGCTTAATTCTGGTCAATTTTTTAAGCTTTTAATTCTGTATTATATTGCCAAAAGCCTTCTTTGCTTTGATTGTCATTCACACACTGCAAGCTAATGACATTTATTTGCTATACTGTAGCACTCAGAGATAGGTTAAGTATATGCTAGTTGTGCTAGCCAGGGATATTGCTAACACAGGCTTCTACAGGTATCTCTGTAGCATTGTTTTATCAAGTATGGTTAATGGCCAGCTAAATCAGCATAATCTGGTGTGCTTTTAAAGATAAGATTCCTTCCCCTTGAGTAAGGGTCAGCAAGCTTTTTTTCTGTGAAGGGCCAGATAGTGGATATTTTAGGCTTTGTAGATTAGTTTGCCTCTGTCATAACCACTCAGTTATGTTATACCATGAAAGCAGCCATAAATACTACATAAGTGAATGAGCTTGGCTGTATTCCAATAAAACTTCCTTTATAAAAACCAGCAGTAGGCCAGATTTGACCCATGGGCTGTAATTTGCAGACCTCTGCTCTAAATCTATGGGATCTACATCTCTGAGGATGCACTAATAAACTTTCAAGACTTGTTCATTTAACAGGTACTTCTCCCCTTTTTATAGCTACTGATATTAAAATAATTACTTGAACAAAACTGAAATAAGAACATGGCAACTTATATTTTAGAAACATTTGCCAAGGATTTTACTTTAATTATTCTACTTTCATGTTAACAAAACTACTTGAAAGACACAGGGAAGGGAAAACGTGACAATTGGAGTTCAATATGAGGATAATTTATTTCTAATAACCGCTTACAGTCTAAAGAAAAAGCTCTGAATTCTCTTCTTATCAACAATTAAAATAAAAGATAAATGTAGTTTTCCAGTGATTTATATGTAGCACATCCCTTTGTAGAAACCAGATCATAGGTGGAAACTTGTACCTGATTTCCCTGTTGATCTGTTATAACAATTTTTTTTTTAAGATTTTTTTGAGACAAGATCTTTTCTGTCACTCAGGCTGAAGTGAAGTAGGGTGATCACAGCTTACTGCAGCTTCAAATTCCTGGAGTCAAGCTGTCTTCTCGCCTCTGCTTCCTGAGTAATTGGGACTACAGATGCACACCACCACACCTGGCTATGTTATAACAATTTTTAAGGCATGTACACCCCTTGCTAAAGATAGGATTAGTTATACTCTGAAAATGCACATACTTTAATTCATTAATAAATTCAAACTTACTTGAACCTTTAAATGATTAGCTTTAAGAATAGATGCGTAAAATAAGTTAGCACAATGAATTTGCTGAATTTTTTCCCTTTTAGGAATAATACATATTTCTGGAGGGCGTCTTGTGTGCCAAGATCTGTGGATAGGCATCAGTGTGACATAGTTCCTATAACAGCTTACAATTTAGTTGGGACTATAAGAAAAAGATATGTTCCCGTTTGGACTGAAATGCATTTAAAAGTTGTAGTTAATGTAAGGGTAGTTGTTTGTTTATATTCTTACTGGAATTTCTTTGTTTATATTCTTACTGGAATCGCTTCTAGAAAGTATAAATAATATTGTTCATGTTCTTTGTTTACTGATTATAATAATATAACCTATAATTGTATAATATATAAAATATTTGAATTGTTTGTTTTCTTGTGTTTAAGAGAGTACTGATTCAAAATTAATGATATGCTAATCTTTCCAGGAGATCATGAATGTGGCAGTTCTAGTCAAAGAACGCTTTCTGTTCAAGAGGCAGCTGCGTATTTAAAAGTAAGCAGTGAAATTAGAATTTTAATAGCTATATTTTAAAAAATTATATAAATCATTGCTACTTGTAAGAATCATATATTTGATTATTTTAATTGTACTGTTAAAAGCTTGGACCTACTGTTTGGTGTAATATGAGCAGTTATGAGAAGGTGAAATTGTGCAACTTTTTTTTTTTTTTTTTGTGAGACAGAGTTTCATTCTTGTTCCCCAGGCTGGAGTGCAATGGCTGATGTCGACCCACTGCAACGTTCACAACCTGGGTTCAAGCGATTCTCCTGCCTCAGCCTCCCAAGTTAGCTGGGATTACAGGCACCCACCACCTCGCCCAGCTAATGTTTTTTGTATTTTTAGTAGAGATGGGGTTTCACTATGTTGGCCAGTCTGGTCTCAAACTACTGGCCTCAGGTGATCCGCATGCCTCGGCCTCCCAAAGTGCTGGGATTGCAGGCGTGAGCCACCTGTTCAATTTTTTTTTAATTTGTTTTAGAACATTCTCTATGAGAGAATGCATATTAATTTGGAAAGGGTACAAAGAAACATTGGTCAGAGGGAAATTGAGATAGGTGAGTAGTAGCATGTAAGAAAGCAGGTAAACATCTAACCATTTATTTAAAATCTTCTGTCCCAGATCAGTTTCTTCTCAGAATACTAAGAGAACTTGCTGTTCAATTTTCTCAACTACTGTAAATAATTTCTGGAAAATCTTAATGAAAGGAAAGGTACTAGAAGATTTAAGATGGATAAATGTCATTCTGATTTCTCAGAAGTGGAAAGTGGAATTTGAAAACCATATAGGAAAGCTTGTTGTCAGTCCAGTTCCATAAAGATAATTTCATAAAGATATGAGTTCTTGCAAATGGAAATGTTGATCCCTGGAAGGTGGCTGGCATTTGAATGTGGACAAGTCATGCCATACAAATTTCATGCCTCCCATTCTCTTGTTAAAATTGCGGTAAAAAATACATAACATGAAATCTATTAACATATTTTTAAGTATACAGTACAACTATATGTGCATTCTTGTATGGCAAATCTCTAGAACTTCTTCATCTTGTATGACTGAAACTCTATACTCATTGCATGGCAGGTCCCCATTTTCCTCTGCCCCATATCCCTGGCAACCACCATTTTACTTTCTGCCTCCATCAGTGTGATTAACAGATACCTCATATAAGTTGAATCCTGCAATTTTTGTCCTGTAACTGGCTTATTTCTCCTAGCATAATGTCTTCAAATTTCATCCATATTGTAACATGACAGTATTTCCTTCATTTTTTAAGGCTGAGTAGCATTTCATTGTATGTATACACATATTTTCTTTATCCAGTCATGTTGATGGGCTTTTAGATTGTTTCCACCTCTTGGCTATTGTGAATAATTCATCAATGAACATGGCAATGCAAATACTTCTTTGAGACTTTACTTTTAATTCTGTTAGACAAATACCTAGAAGTGGGATTGATAGATAATATGGTAGTTCAACTTTTTATTTTTTGAGGAACCTCCACACTGTTTTCATACTGACTGTACCATTTTACATTCCCTCCAATAGTATAGTAGGATTACAGTTTCTCCACATCCTTACCATTTATTTGCCTTATAGCGCACTGTATTTTCGATTTATGTTTCCCTGATGATTACTGATGTTGAACATCTTTTCATATACCATTTCTATACATATACATCTGTGTGTACATATAGCATATATACAACATATATGTAATACCCTATCTGTTGACCATTTGTATATCTTCTTTGGAGAAGTGCTGTTCAAGTTCTTTGCTGATTTTTAAATTCGGTTATTTTGTTACTGAATTGTAGGGGTTTCTTATGCATTTTGCATATTAAACGCTTGTCAGATACATGGTTTGCAAATATTTTCTCCCATTCCATAGGTTACTTTTTCATTCTTTCACTGTTTCTTTTACTGCACATTTTTCTATTTTTGCTTTTGGTGTCATGTCCAAGAAATTATTGCCTGTATCAACATCAAGAAGCTTTTCTTCTGTGTTTTCTTCAAGGAGTTCTATAGTTTCAGGTATTACATTTAAGTCTTTAATCCATTTGGAGTTGATTTTTGTGTATGGTGTAAGATAAAGGTCCAGTTTGATTCTTTTGCATGTGGAAATCCAGTTTTCCTAGCACCATGTATTGAAGAGATTGTCATTTCTCCATTGCGTAGTCTGGCACCCTTGTAGAAGATTGTTGGATCATACATCAGTGGCTTTATTTCTGGTTCTCTATTTTGTTCCACTGGTCCATTTATGTCTGTTTTTATGCTAGTACTATACTGTTTGGATTACTGCAGTTTTGTCATATGTTTTAAAGTCAGCATGAGGCCTTTGTGGTTCCATATGGATATTAGGATTATGTCTTCTATTTCTGCAAAAAACGCTTTTGGGATTTTGTATTGCTATATTGCTTTGGGTAGTATAGTAATTTGAGTAATATTAAGTCTTACAATTCACAAACATGAGATGTCTTTCTATTTATTTGTGTCTTTTATTTCAGTCAGCTTTTTTTTTGTAGTTTTCAGTGTATAAGTCTTTCACCTCCCTGGTAAAGTTTATTCCTAAATATCTAAATCTTTCTGATGCTTTTGTAAATGGGATTATTTTCTTAACTTCCTTTTCAGATTGATTGTTGTTAGTGTATAGAAATGTAACTGATTTTTGTATATTGATTTTATATCTTCCAACTTAGCTGACTTTATTTATTCTAATTATATATATATATATATATATGTATTTTATTTTATTTTTTTAGTAGAGACAGGGGTCTTACTGTGTTGCCCAGACTGGTCTCAAACTCCTTGACTCAAGTTATCCTCCTGCCTTGGCCTCCCAAAGTGCTGGGATTACAGGCATGAGCCACTGCACCCAGCCAACTAACAAGATTTTTTTGGTGGAATCTTTAGGGCTTTCTATGTATAAGATTATGTCACCTGTTTAGAGAGATAAATTTACTTCCTTCTAATTTGGATGTCTTTTATTTCTTTTTCTTGTCTAAGTGCTCTGGCTAGGATATCTAGTGCTATGACAGATAGAGATGGGAAAAATAGCCACCCTGGCCTTCTTCCTGATCTTACAGGAAAATCTTTTTTTTTTTTTTTTTGAGACAGAGTCTCACTCTTGTCGCCCAGGCTGGAGTGCAGTGGCATGATCTCTGCTCACTACAACCTCCACCTCCTGGGCTCAAGTGATTCATGCGTCTCAGCTTCCTGAGTAGCTGGGATTACAGGTGTGTGCCACCACACCTGGCTAATTTTTTTGTATTTTTAGTAGAGATGGGGTTTCACCATGTTGGCCAAGCTGGTCTTGAACTCCTGACCTCAGGTGATCCACCCACCTCAGCCTCCCAAAGTGCTGGGATTGTAAGCGTTAGCCACGGTGCCTGGCCAGGAAAATCTTTCAGTTTGTCACCATTGAGTATGATATTAGCTAAGGATTTCCATGTATGACCTTTAATGTGTTGAGATAATTTCCTTCTATTCCTCTTTATTAAATGGTTTTATCATGAAAGGATATTGAATTTTATCAAATGCTTTTTCTGAATCTATTGAGATGGTCATGTGATTTTAATCCTTTGTTCTATTAATGTGGCATACTCAATTTTGATTTTTGTATATTGAACTATCTTTGTGTCTGAGGTATATTATCCTGGTGTGTGATCCTTTTCATGTGCTTTTGAATTCAGTTTGCTAAGGTTTTTTGAGGATTTTTGTATCTCAGGGATTTTAGTCTGTAATTTTCTTATAGTATCATTGTCTGGCTTTGGTGTCAGAGTAATGCTGGCTTCATAAAATGAGTTTGGAAGTGTTTCCTCCTTTTCAATTTTTCGGAAGAATTTGAATAGGATTGGCATTAATTCTTCTTTAATAAAATAGATAATAAACTCAGAAATGAATTCTGATTTTTTTCTGAGTCTAGTTAAGGGTTTGTCAATTTTGATCTTTTCGAAAAACCAACTCTCAGTTTTGTTGATTCATTAAATTCTCTATTTATTTTTGCTCCAATCTTTATTACTATTTCCTTCCTTCTGCTAACCTTAGGCTTAGTATGTTCTTTTTTTAGTTCTTTGAGATGTAAAGTTAGATTTCTCATTTGAGTTTTTTTTTTTAAACATAGTCTTACCACTGTAAACCTCTCTCTTGGTATTGCTTTTACTGCTTCTCATAAATTTTGTTAGGTTGTGTTTTTTATTTTTTTAATCTTAATAAATTTATAATTTTTCTTTTGATTCCTGCTTTGACCCAATGCTTGTTCTAGGAGAATGTTGTTTAATTTACATATATTTGTGAATTTCTCAGTTTTTCTCTGCTCTTGATTTTTAGTTTCATTTCATTATGGTGTGAAAAGATACTTGGTAGGATTTTGGTCGTCTTTAATATGTTAAAATTTTTGTGGCCTAATATATGATCTAATTTGGAGAATGTTCCATGTGCACTTGATAAGAATGTGTATTCTACTCCTGTTGGATGGAATTTTCTGTATATTTCTGTTAGATCCATTTGATCTATAATCATTGTTCAAGTCTTCTGCTCCCTTATTGATCTTCTATTCATTATTGAAAGAGGGGTATTGAAACATCCTATTGTGTTGCTGTAATTTCTCCCTTCACTTTTGTCATTGTTTGCTTCATATAATCAAGTACTCTAATGTGGGATACATATATGTTTAGAATTGTTAAATCTTTCAGATGAATTGACCCCTTTGTCATTTATATAATGAATGTCCTTCCTTGTCTCATGTGATGATTTTTTTTTTTTTTGAGACAGAGTCTAGGCCTGTCATGCAGCCTTGAGTGCAGTGGTGAGATCATAGCTTACTGCAATCTCAAACTCCTGGGCTCAAGTGATCCTCCTACCTCAGCTTCCCAAGTAGCTGGGGCTACAGACACGTGCCACCACACCCAGCTAATTTTTAAACTTTTTGTAGAGACAGGATCTCACCATGTTGCCTTTAAGTCAACAATTTGTCTAATATAAGTATGACTACCCCTACTCTTTTTTAGTTATTATCTGCATAGAATATCTTTTTTCATCTTTTGGCTGCCAGCCTGTGTGTGTGCTTAAATCTAAGGTGTATACATGATAAAATTGGAGGTTTTTTTTTTTTAATTCATTCAGCCACTCAGTGTGTTTTGATTTGGGAGTTTAGTCCATTTACATTTAAAGTAATTAGTAATAGGGAAGGACTTATATTGCCTTTTTTATTAAATATTTTCTCTCTGTATTATAGCTTTTTTTGTCCCCTTTTTAATGTCTTACTCTTTTGTGTGTCTTTTTTTGTTTGTTTGTTTTTATAGTGACAAGCTGTGATCTCTTTCTCATTTTCTTTTTTGTGTCTTTTGTAGGCATTTGTGGTTACTATTGGGGCTTATATAAATCATCTTATATTCACAATGATATTTTAACCTGATAACACCTTAACTTTAGTCACATGGAAAGTCTCTACTTATATCTCTCTTCATTCTTTATATTATTGATGTCACAGATTACATCTTTGCATATTGTGTATCATCAACATATTTTTATAAAGTTTTTTACACGTTTGTCTTTTAAATTGTATATCACAATTAAGTGATTTACATACCACCATTACAGTGTTACATATTCTGATTTTGTCTATATATTTACCTTTATCAGCAAGCTTTATATTTTCATATGCTTTTGCATTGCTAGGTAGCATCCTTTCATTTAACTTGGCACTCAGTTTAGCATTTCTTATGAAGCAATTCTAGTGATGATTAACTCCCTTGGCTTTTATTCTGAAAAAGTCTTTATTTCTTCATTTTTGAAGGGTGGTTTTTCTGGATACGTAGTAGTCCCCTTTATCCATGGTTTTGCTTTTCACAGTTTCAGTAACCCCCAGTCAACTATGGTCTGCAAATATTAAATGGAAAATTCCAGAAATAAACAATTCATAAGTCTCACATTGTATGCCATTTTTAATAGTATGATATACTACTCCCCTGACCCCCTCGCCCACACACACAGTATTCTTGGTTGGCAGTTGTTTTCTTTCATTACTTTGAATATGTTATTTCACTCTCTTCTGCCTTGTAAAGTCTTTTGGGGACTCCCTTGTATGTAATGAGTAGCTTGCATCTTGGCTGCTTTCCTCTCCTTGGGTTTCAACAATCTGAACATAACATGTCTCAATATGGACTTATTTTGGTTTATCCTCATTAGGATTCATTGGCTTCCTTGAGTCTGAATGCCCATTTTCCAGGTTTGGGGAGTTTTGGGCCTCAAATACATGGGTTTTTTTTTTTTGCCTGTTTCTTTCTTGTCTTTCTGAAAGTTCTATGTTACTTATATTGCTTATATTGGTTGGCTTAATGGTGTCACATTAAGTTCTTTAGACTTTCTTGTCTTTATCCTTTCTTCATTTTGCTTATCTGACAGAATAATTCCAAATTACCTTCTTTGAGTTTGCTGATTCTTTCTTCTGTTTGATACAGTCTGCTCTTGAACCCCTCTAATGAATTCTTAAATTCAGTTATTCTTTAGCTCCAAAATTTCTGGGTTTTAAAAATACTTTCTGTCTCTTTGTTGATATTCTTACTTGGTTCATGCATTGTTTTCCTGATCTTGTTGAGTATCTTTATGATGGCTTTTTTTGAATTATTTGTCATGTAATCCTTAGACTTCTACTTCTTTAGGATATGTTTTGGAAGTGTATTTTGTTTCTTTGACCATGTTTTTGTGGTTCTTCATGTGCCTTGTTACTTTGTGTTGGGATTCATGCATTTAACAACAACAGAAAAAAAAAAAACAACCCAGCCACCTTTGTAGACTTTGTGCAGGGAAAGTCTTTTACCAATATGTCTGTGTAGAGATTCTGGGTTTCTTACATATCTTTTCTGTGGTTGTGGTTGTGTCCTCTCTGGATTTTTGTGTGTGAATTTCCAATTAGAGAAATTTTGCTGTTTTATTTCCTCATAGCTTGTAATCTTTTGATCCCTGGTATCTGTAGATTATCCCTGGTGTCTGTAGATTATCTGGAGCTGCCATAAGCTATCCAACTCTTTTGTTTGTTTGTTTTGAGACAGAGTCTCGGTCTGTTGCCCAGGCTGGAGTGCAGTGGCATGATCTCAGCTCACTACAACCTCTGCCTCCCTGGTTCAAGCGATTCTCCTGCCTCAGCTTCCCAAGTAGCTGGAACTACAGGTGCCCGCCACCATGCCCGGCTAATTTTTTGTATTTTTAGTGGAGATGGGGTTTCACCATGTTAGCTAGGATGGTCTCGATCTCCTGAACTTGTGATCCACTCTCCCCGGCCTCCCAAAGTGCAGGGATTACAGGCGTGAGCCACTGTGCCCGGCCCAGCTCCTTTTTCTTCTTAGGGGCCCCCAGGTGTCAAGAGTATACTGAGTCCTGTCAGCATTTTGAATCAGGTGAGGCAGAAGACAGCCAGGCAACGCTCCCTGCCCCTGTGAAGTCAGAACTTTGGATGCATGTCTAACTTTTTTCTTCCTCAGGGAGAAGCCAGGAGTTGGGGTTTTTCTCAACTTTCTTATGCCGAGCTGGGGGTAGGGACAATGGTGAGTGAGTGCTGTTGCCTTTGTTCTTAGTAGTCCTTAACTTGGTATCTTTCAACTATTAGATTCAGACACGACAGAAACCAGTTGCCTCCAAAAGTTAGACCATTAGATGTATATTCTAGTCTTCTGTTTTCCTTCTGAGGGGGAAGCCATGAGTTGGCAGTTTCCTCTCTATTGCACTGCCCTGTAGGGTGATGGGAGTGTCTGGGAAGTGAGTGACATGAATTTTCTTAACAGCTTTGATACAGGTGGTTTTGTGCTTGCCTAGGTGCAGGAACCTTTTAACTAATTGCTGGATTTTTCTTAAATGGAATTGGTCCATGTATTTTTGTTGAATCAGTGTCTCATTGAGGGAAGGAGGGTCTGGGGCTTCCTATTCTGCCATCTTGCTGATGTCACTCCTCCACTTTTTAAAATTTAAAAATGTAGTATATGTTTTAAGGCTTTCAGCAAAGTTTTGGTAATAATCTCCTGTGATATGCTCGTCAGCAAAGAGAAATATTGACTGAGTTTTTAACTTAATGCATGACTTATATGTAGGTACCAAAAAGATCCTAAGACAGTTTAATAATGAGATTATATCTGGAGTCAAATTCTGACACTGCCAGTAGAAGCTATTGCATTTTGGTAAAGTCTCTTTAACTTTTCTGAACCCGTTTCTTTGTGAGTGTAGGACTGCTGTTAATACCTGTCAAAGTTGTTGGGAGGCTTGAGTATGTAAAATGCCTAGCTCAGTGCCTGATGATTATAGTAGCTTCCCAATAAACTCAGTTTCTGTGTTTTCTAATTAAATCAGTGCCACTCTAGCGAGTAATCTCTAATAACATGCCACAGAAATTTTGCTTAAGGTTGTTTATTGTCTTTATTTTCAATTTTGACCTAGATGAGAGCATTAATGACAGTAAAATTTATGGATAGTGTAATAGCTAATAGACTAGACAGTTAAAGAATCAGAATTCAAAAAGATCTTGACTAAGAAGGAGTTATGATTATAGGGCTCAGTGTTATAGGATGGACGAATGTCAGGGTGCAGGCAAGAAAAGGGATTGGATTGAGGAGGCTAAAGGAGACATAGAATAAAATATTCCATGAAGAAAGGCATAGTGGGAATCCAAAGCAAGCAAACTGTTCCTTATAAAATAATTGAATGGGTTTTTACTTCTAATAGTAGGACTGTCTTATCCCATTCAGTGTTTCTTTCCTATTTTCTTTTTGTTATGTAGTTAAACCTCTGAGATTTGATCTCTGAGAGGTAATACCACAGATCTGTGTTATGATTGGTCATAAATTCCTGGAGCAAGTTTCATTTGCTTTACAGAAGAATCCTGAGACTCTTAAGGCATATTAAATATAATTAATTCTTCCTTGGTATCTGGGGATTACTTCCAGGACCCCATGGCCACAAAAATTTGTAGATGCTCAAGTCCTTTATATAAAATACTGTAGTATTTATGTATAACCTATGCATATCCTGCTGTATACCTTAAATCTTCTCTAGATTACTGATAATACAATGTAAATGGTATGTAAATAGTTATTATTATACTGTATCATTTAGGGCAAGCTTGTTCAACTCGCAGCCCAGGACGGCTTTGAATGTGGCCTAACACAAATTTGTAAACTTTCTTAAAACATGAGAATTTTTGCAATTTTTTTTTTTGGCTCATCAGCTATTGTTAATGTATTTTATATGTGGCCCAAGACAATTCTTCCAATGGGGCCAAGGGAAGCCAAAAGATTGGACACCCCTGGTTTAGGGTATAATAAGGAAAAAAAAAAAAAAGGACTGTACAAGTTTAATGTAGACATAATCATCTGTTTTTTTCCCAAATATTTTTGATTCATGATAGACTATATTGACTCTATTCAGTATTTCAATCCATGGATGTGGAACCCATGGATAAAAGGACTGACTGTATTGTGTTAGAAGGACTGAAGAAATGGGATAGGGACTGGGGACAAGATAGGACCTGACTAGTAATTAAGGTAGAACTGAAGAAGAGGAGGGATTAGTGTAGAATTATTAACCTCTTTTTCACTTCTCCCAACCATTTTCTTGTAGCTGTGGGTCAGTAATAGTACATGTTAAAAAGAAGGGGCACAGGCGTGGGGTTGGGGTAAGTCAAAGTCTAAGCCAGGCAGCAGTAGAGTATAAGATTAGTTCTACTAGAGACTGGCAGCAAAGAAGTTACTGGAAGCACCCTTTCATGAGTTAAGTTGGAAACTGCTTATATCTACTTAAAAAAAAAAAGTTATTAATGAACTGTAACTTTTTTTGTTTTCTTCCTCTTCTTATTTTTTGAAATGGAGTCTCGCTCTGTCGCTCAGGCTGGATTGCAGTGGCGCGATCTCAGCTCACTGCAAGCTCCGCCTTCGGGGTTCACGCCATTTTCCTGCCTCAGCCTCCCGAGTAGCTGGGACTACAGGTGCCCGCCACCACACCTGGCTAATTTTTTTTTGTATTTTTAGTGGAGACAGGGTTTCACCGTGTTAGCCAGGATGGTCTCGATCTCCTGACCTCGTGATCCACCCGCCTTGGCATCCCAAAGTGCTGGGATTACAGGTGTGAGCCACTGCACCCAGCCACTTTTATTATTTTTAATTAACATAATTGTACATATTTATGGGGTATAGTGTGATATTTTGATACATGTATACAATGTGTAATGATCCAGTGGGGTAATTAGCATAGCCATCACCTCAAATATTTATAATTTCTTTGTGTTGGGAACATTCAAAAATCGCTCTTTTAGCTATTTGAAAATATGTAATAAGTTGTTGTTAATTATAGTTGCCTTGCAGTGTTGTAGAACACTAGAATTTATTCCTCCTACCTGGTTATAATTTTGTTTAACCAACCTCTGGCTACACCCCCTCCTCCTGCCACTTTGCCACTTTCTAGCCTCTAGTAACCACTATTGTCTTCTCGCTCCCTGAGATCAACTTTTTAGCTTCCCCAAAGGTAAAATAAGCCAAGTTCTTAGTAGTCCTTAACTTGGACTTCTAACTCACTTGTCTTCCGCAAGTGAGAACATACGGTATTTGTCTTTCTGTGATTGGCTTATTTCACTTAACGCAATGTTCTTCAAGTGCATCTGTGTTGCTGTGAATCACATAATTTTGTTCTTTATTATGACTGAATAGTATTCCATTGTATATATACCACATTTTATTTATTCATCTGTTAATGAGCACTTAGGTTGATTCCATATTGTTGTTAATAATGTGGCAATAAATGAGAGTACAGATACCTCTTTCACTTACTGATTTCCTTTCCTTTGGATATATACCCAGTAGTGAGATTGCTGGATCATATGGTAGTTCTATTTTTAATTTTTTGTGGATCCACCATACTATTGTCTACAATGGCTGTACTGTACTTTTCCACCAACAGTGGATAAGAGTTCCCCTTTCTCTGTCCTCGCCAGCATTTGTTATTTTTTGTCTTTTTGATGCTAGCAATTCTAACTGGGGTGAGTGAATATCTCATTGTGGTTTTGATTTGCATTTCCTTGATGATTAGTATGTTGGGCATTTTTTCATATACCTGTTGGTTGTTTGTATGTCTTAAGAGATGTCTGTTAAGCTCATTTGCCCATTGAGTTCCTTGTGTGTTCTGGATATCATTCCCTTGTCAGATGAATAGTTTGCAAACATCTCCCATTCTACTAGTCGTCTCTTCACTCTGTTGCTGCCTTTGCTGTGCAGAATCTTTTATTTTGCTATAACCCCATTTATTTTTGCATTTGTGTCTTCTCCATAAAAACCTTTGTCCAGACTAATGTCCTGAAGCATTCCTCCTGTATTATCTTTTAGTACTTTCATAATTTTAGGTCTTAAATTATTTAATCCATTTTGAGTTGGTTTTTGTGTATGGTGAGAAATAAGGAGGCTGGTTTCATTCTGCCTGTTTTCACAGCACTGTTTAGTGAAGAGACTGTCCTCTCCCCAGTGAATGGTCTTGGCACCTATGTCAAAAATCAGTTGGCTGTAAATATGTAGATTTATTTCTGGGGTCTTTATTCTGTTCCGATGGTCTGTGTGTCTGCTTTTATGCCAGTACCATGCTGTTTTGCTTACTATAGCTTTGTAGTATATTTTGAGGTTTTATAGTGTGATGCATCCAGCTTTGTTCTTTTTGCTCAGGATTGCTTTGACTGTTCATAGTTCCATATGAACTTTAGAATTGTTTTCTTCTACTTATGTGAAGAATGTCAGTGGTATTGTGATAGGAATTGCATTGAATCTATAGATTATTTTTGGTAGTGTAGTTGTTTTCATAATCTTCTAATCGTGAACATGGGATGTCCTTTTTATTGGTGTTTTGTGGTTTTTCTTAGATATCTTTTACCTTCTTGATTAAATTTAATTGTAAGTATTTTATTCATTTACTTATTTTTGTAGCTATTGTGAGTAGAACTGCTCTCTTGATTTCTTTCTCTGCTAGTTTTTTGTTGGTATATGTTACTGATTTTGAGCATTGATTTTCTGCCTGCAAGTTTATTTAATTTGTTTATCAGTTCTAAGAGGTTTTTGGTGGAACTTTTAGGGTTTTCTACATTAACATCATGTCATCTGCACATAGGGACAATTTTTCTCCTTTCCAGTTTGGACGCCCTTTATTTGTTTTTCTTACCTAATTGCTCTGGCTAGGACTTCCAATACTATGTTAAATAAGAGTGGTGAGAATGGGCACTGTTGTCTTATTCCATTTCCTATAGGGAAAGCTTTCAGCTTTTTCTCGTTCAGTATGCTGTTGGCTGTGGGTTTGCCATATATGGCCTTTATTGTGTCCTTCAGTACCTAGTTCGTTGAGAGTTATCATGAAGAGATGTTAAATTATATTAAATGCTTTTTCTCCAGTGAACTCTGTAGCCTTTAGAATATTTTTATGTCTTGAGTTATTTTATGTTTCATATTAGATTTTGTCTTATTTATTAGAATTTCTGTTGCATATTTTTACAAGATTGTGGATTAATTTAATTTCATTCTTAATTAAA